TGAATTATTAAAATATTAATTCAGTTTTTTAATTTTTAAATTTATATTAAAATTGTCTTTCAACTTAAAAAATATTAAAACTATCTTTAAATTTTAATTATTAATATCAAAATAATTCTTGATCTTTGAAACTAAGTACTAAATTGGTCTTTAAACTTTGAAAACAAACATCAATTCTTAAACTTTAATTATAAACACTAATTTAGTTTTTTTAATTTTGATTATATATCAATCTGATATATAAATAAAAAATATATTATAATAATATAATATTATTATTTGATTTTATATGTTATCAATATTTTAAAAAAATTAATTTTATGATAAAATAACAAATCAAGTAATAATTTTATTAGCAAAAGAACTATTTTAATACCAATAATTAAAATTTAAAAACAATTTAAATATTTTTTAAGTTAAAAAACAATTTCAGAATAAATCTAAAAATTAAGGAATTAAACCGGTATTTTAACCAAAATGAATCATATCTAAAGAGTCACTTAATTTCTAAGTTTCAAGAAGTTAAAGATTGAGACTAAGAAGAATAAAGCCGATTACGTACTTTACACAAAGAACCGATGAACACAGTGGTCCAGGCCCTGCTCATGAATGCTCCACCTGGTTACCAAGAATAGAGTGGTTAACTTGGCGTGCTTTAAAAGAACACGTTAATAAAAAGTTAGGGACTTGACAAGTGTTTAAAGATAAGGGCATAAATAAATAAATAAAGGATTAGGGACTTGACAAGTGTTTAAAGACAGTGGCCAAAATAAATAAATAAATAAAGGATGAGCGTGCACAACACAACAGAAAAAGGGGCCGGCCTTTGATGGAACACGTCTTCATCCCTTTGTAATTTCCCTTATTTAAAAAAGAAAAACACAACACAAAGAATTCCTTAAAAATAAAGTGGTCACGTTTTCTCTGCAAATATCCAATTAGTTCAAATTTAATTTCGGTATTCCAATTATACGTCTAGATAAAGTAGAAATGATGACCATGAAAACCATTAACAGGGTTGGGTAGTGGTAAAGAGATATGACAATGAGAGGTGAAACATAGGTTTAGTTTATCAATATTTAACTGGAGCTGTAATTGTGAATTTTTGTTAATTTTTAACACCTTAAAAATATATAAAATATATTTAATATATTTAATATTTAGTCTCTCTATCTTAAAATAATTATAATTATTTTACATTTTCTTTAAATTAAAAACCTAAGACAATTTATGTATTAACTAA